CCCTGGCCCTCTTCCTGCACCCGTGACCAGCCGGTTGCATGCCCCAAGTGGTCCCTGGCACAGTTCGGGGTCAGACACAATTGCAGTAGTCCTTAGGCTGTGCATCAGGGTCTCTGCTGTCCCTGAATCCTGGCTACCTGCCTGACATGTGGGCTTCAGTTTTCTCATTTGTGAAATAGGAGTAACAGTTGCTCAACACCAGGGTTGTTGAGAGGGAAGTTGTAAAGGGTCTGGTGCTGCTCCGTGGTAGCTGTTGTCTGAGTTGCAGTTATCTGTGTGTGACACACACACACACACACACACACACACACACACACACACACACACAGCGAGGCAAGGCGAGGACTGTGTCCTTGGCCACCCCGCCTGGGAAACACTGCCACACAATCCCCACGGTCTGTTGACCCCTACAACCTTACCCTCAGGTTGCCTGGAAGTATTCATGTCCCTGAGCCCCCTTCAGCCCCCCCTAAGGCCAGAATCCGAGCTTGAGAACACCTCCCCAGGTGCTTCTGAGCTGCAGCTCAGGCAGGTGCAGCCATTGCTTTGGGGCCTCCCAGGCCTCTCTGACTACACATTACGGAGGGGGAGTCCACTACCCTCATGGCAGCCTGTGCCACACCAGCTAGGGCAGAGAGAAGAACTCACAATCAGTGAGTTATCCTGGTTCACCCCTAGAAATCCGGGGGTGGGGGAGGCTCCTCACCACCTACCCGCCCACCCACTCATACTGGCATCTGGCCCAGAGGGTTACTCATTAGGTAGCTGGGTGTGGTCAGTCCCTCATCAGACACCTGTTCTGGAAGCCTGGACTTCCCCCTTAGCCTCAGCAGCTTGGGGGCCTGTAAATCATTGGTCTGGGCCCTCTCCCCACCCCATCACTCTCATGCACTGCCCTGCCTACTGCCTTCTGCACTAGGGAAGTGACACAGGTGCCTTGAGGATAGGGAAAGAGGGCTGGTCTGGGATAATCCACAGTTCAGTTCTGGTCCATAGCAGGGAGCAGAGCTCAGACTCCCATCTTGAAAAATACAAATTCTTATCTGCATATGCAAACTCCTGCAAGGCTCCCCACTCCTCAGCCTCCAGGGCCTCTCGCCAGAGGCAGCCCCTATCGTTGGCTTCCTGTGTGTTCTTCCAGAAAGAACTGTGTGGATGGTACAGAAACACATGAGTATATGCGCTTCTCCCCCATGTTTACACGTAAATGTTATCACCATTTACAGTGTGCCGTGGACTGGCTTCCACCACCACCACCACATAACTTATAATTTGGCCTGTATTGGCACACATTGTTTTTAAATGTATTTGACAGAGAGTGTGAGCGAGCTCCCATCCATTGATTGACTCCCTGAAATGCCTGTGGTGGGCAGGCTGAAGTCAGGAGTCAGAGACTCAATCCAGGTCTCCCATGCAGGTGGCAGGGACCTAATCATGTGAGCCATCCCCAATGCCTGCCAGGGCAGCTTTGGCAGGGAGTTGGAATCAAGCATTGGAGCCAGGTCTCACACCCAGCGACCCTGGTATAGGACAGAGAGATCTAACCAGCATCGTAACTGCTAGGCCGGACCCCTCCTCATGCACCTGCTTTCTCGTGTCTGCATCTCTCTGCTCCCTGTGGATGTACCATCTCTTACTCACCCAGTTCTCTCCTTGCAGTCCCAGACGTGCCTTCCGCTCCTGTGCTTTGAGAAAGAGCACCAGCTTGGGCAGTTCAGGTTTGGGTCAGTTCCTGGAAGTAGGATTCATGGTCAGGGTCAGAGTGCAGAGGTGGGATCCGTGCATGTCAGAGGCAGCTCCAGGGAGGGTGCTGTCCTTAGTACTTTCTGGACAGCTGTGTGAGTCCCTGGTTTTGAGGCTCACGCATATTGTTCTTTGGCAAAGCTGCTTTTTCTTAACAGGGAAACTGCATGCTCCCAGCAGCTGTGCCACATGGAAGTTAACATGGGCCCAGAGAGCAAGGGTGACATAGCTTGGACAGCCCAGCTCAGCTAACGTCCCAGCTACTCCCAGCCCTCAATGTTTTGGGAAAAACCTGACTGGCCACCAGCCCCCCACCCACACCCCCCCCCCTAGTTATGTCACTTCCTGGTGGATGGCCCTCGGGCAGTGGATGGGAGCTCTGCTGTTTAAGGGGCAGTTAAGGGCTCCTGGCCAGGGGTTGTGGTCTTGGGCAGGGCTAAGATACTGAGTCTCTGGGGAGGGCTAGAAAGACTCATCAGGCCTCTGACACAGACCCCAGCTCCTCATCCTGAGCCTCGATTGGAAGAGTCTACAGTAGGACTCCTTCTGGCTTGGGGGTTCCAGTACATGCAGAGCCATTTTTGAGCCAGCACTGATTTTTCTAGGTCAAGGAGGAGTCCCCTCTGGAGCCAAGGCGTCAGTAGTCACTCCCTCAGCCCTTTTCCTGAGGCCAGGCTGGGTCCAAGGCCATAGCACCTTCTGCTTTGGTTCCACTGCTGCAGCAGGAATCCCAAGGAACAGCGCCAGGGAGCAACCTCTGCCTGCCCGTCTGCACGGAGCTGGAGTTGCAGCTGGAACTGGAACCAGCTAGCTCATGGCAAGCCCAGAGCTGTCTGACCTAGCCGCAGGCTCCGTGGAGGACATGCCAAGGGCTAGGTGGGGCCAAGGCTATGACCCAGGGAGGTGACAACCCTGGCCATGTTGGAGACACTGTGTGTGTGGTAAGGGAGGGTTAAATGGCTATTCTGAAACCACCCACTCCTGGTGGGACATGGATGTGCTATGTAAACCATGTGCTCAGCTTCTCGCAGAGAAACTGGTGGCGAGCCAGGCCACCACTCAGCCCTGGCCAAGGATGACTCAATACCCTCCCTGTCCAGGCCGACCTCTGACCCACCCAAGCTCCAGCCCCACCTCCATCCCAGCCTTCTCTCTGCTAGATTACTGCAGGTCTCCCTGACTTTGCCCTGCCACTCGCCAACCCGTCCTCCATGCAGCAGCCACAGGAACCTGAGCTCCTGCATGCCATCCCTGGTCCCCTCTGCCTAGAATGCAGCCATGGCTCCCTTCCAGACAGGGGAAAACCCCATGTCCCTCCACTTGCCCCTGTCCCCCCCATCTTCCTCACACATGCTCCCATCCCTGGGCCTTTGCACCAGCTGTTGCTGCTACAGGAAGCCTCCTCCCCAGACACCTGCAAGACCCTGCCTCTCACCATCTGTAGGTCTTGGCTTCAGTTCCCCTTCCGGGACCACTTTCTTTAATGACCGTCCTCCAGCCCGCTTTCTTTTTCTTCTGGATCACCTGTCAAATTCACATTCATTGTGCCCACCTCCCTCCCCAGGGCAGGGGTGAAACTTATTTTATTTCACTCACCGTGGTGCCCTGGGGCTCAGCTCTTAGCAGGAGCTGAGTGTTCATGTGCCCAGTGGCTTCTCTGAGCCTGAACACGGGCAGAAGTGTGGAGTTGTTGGGGTCAGGGGGCGGTCTGGGGCAGCCCAGTGCCACCTCGGAACCAGGTGAGAAGGGCCTTTTGAGGTCCAGACAGGTCCTCCGGGCGTCCACCAGCAGCCCTGCCACTGCCAGTTCTGGGGTCTTTCCCCCTCAGGCACAAGAGGAAAAAGCCGTTCCCCCAGTAAGCACGCCTCACCTACCAGGTGTGCCTCGTGTGCCTCGGGTCGGGGAGGGCCCTTGAACAGGATCACCTGGGGAGCTTGTTAAACAGGCCAATTGTAAGGTAGACTTTTAGAACGTGATGGAGAGCCTGCTTGGGATCCACACTCCATACCAGTGTGCTAGGTTCACGTCTGAGCTCTGCTTTTGCCATGGTTTCCAGTTAATGCGCAACCTAAAAGGCAAATCAGGCAGACGGGAGTTCCAGGCTCCTGGCCTCTGCATGGCCCAGGCCTGACTGTGGATAGCATCTAGGGAATGAACCAACTGATGGGAGGCCTCTGTTTATCTCTCCCTGCCTTTCAAATAAAAGTAAATAAAAATATGTTCCGACAATGCACGGTGCAGGGACCAGCACCATAGCTCAACAGCTGGCATCCCATAGAAATAAATAAACATATTTTTAACATATTATTTCTACTGGAAAGGCAGATACAGAGAAAAGGAGAGACAGATCTTTCATCCGCTGGTTCACTCCCCAAGTGGCCGCAATGGCCAGAGCTGAGCAGGAACCAACTGCCTCCTCCAGGTCTCCCATGTAGGTGCAGGGGCCTAAGGCTTTGGGCCATCTCTGCTGCTTTCCCAGACCACAAGCAGGGAGCTGGAACGGAGCAACTGGAACACGAACTAGCATCCATACAGAAGCCCAGAGCTTGAAGGGAGACATTTAGCTAATTGAGCCATTGCACCAGGCCCAGAAATGAACGAATCTTTAAAACAAAACAATGCAGCATAGACCCAGGCCTTCTGGTTTGCCTGCACAGGAATGCCCTAGAAGCTGTGCTGGTTACAGGCTCCCTGGAAGTGCTTGGGGTGCAGCCAATCCTACAATTGTGGCCTGGAGCTGGGAGCTGGTGGGCAGCGACCAGCTTGGGGAGAGGAAGGGGGTGGGATCTAGCTGGAAGCCTCAGCTTGGCCAGCAACTCCACCAGCCACCCTCCTCCTCAGGTCCCCTCCCACTCCCAGCTTCAGTGCCTCCAGAAGGGGCCTAAGGGGAATACTTACCCTGCAGGGGTGCCCCAGAACAGGCAAAACCAAAGCTGTATCCCAGGAGCTGAAGGCTGGGTTGTGGTGGGGGTGCTGCGAGGGTGGGAGGAGGTAAACAGTTTCTCTGAGTCCTGCCCAGGCTGGTTGGGACACAGGTGTGCTGCATGTGTCTCCTCCCATAGCCACGTACTTGGCTTCCTACAAGAGAAGCTGGTGTGAGCCCAGACAGAGCCCAGGGTTGGCATGTGCGCCCCTGCCCACCTTGGGATTCCCTTCAGGGAGCCTGGGTTGTCCTTCTTGCCCAGGGGCCCCACCTGAGCCTTTGGCAGGCTCCCCCTGCCACCCTCAACTTTGCTCCCGGCCCCTTTGCTTTTTAGGTAAGACCCGGACCAAGGACAAGTACCGCGTGGTCTACACCGACCACCAGCGCCTGGAGCTGGAGAAGGAGTTCCATTATAGCCGTTACATCACCATCCGACGCAAGTCCGAGCTGGCTGCCACCCTGGGACTCACTGAGCGGCAGGTGCGTGGGCCTCCCCACCCCACCTCAGCCACCAGAGCAGAACAGGGGGATCTCACCTCCGGGCAGGTTGCAGAGCTCAATGGAGGGAAAATAGAGAGGTCAAGGCTCTAGCCCATGGTCACACAGCGTTGTTAGAACTGAGGTGTTGTCAACATGTCCTCCCCACAAAAACCCAATATCCACCCCCCCATGGGAACACAGCCATTTGATTGGCTATAATCAGCGCTGCTGAAGTCTAAAGGAACAGTCACAGGAAGACTTCCTGGAGGAGGCATATTGGAAGGCTAGGAGGTTATGGACAAGGGCACCTTGAGGCTGGGGGAGGGGTTCTAGAGCAGGGGTAGTATTGAAGCTCCGTGGGTCTGGCTGGCTGGAGCAGGAGGGAGACCACGAAGGCCATGCTGAGCTGAGCTCTGCCACCCAGCCCACCTCTGGTTTCTGCCCGCACCCACCCCACCTCTGCTGTCCAACTCTGCAGGTAAAGATCTGGTTCCAGAACCGGCGCGCAAAGGAACGCAAAGTGAACAAGAAGAAGCAGCAGCAACAGCCACCACCACCCCTTGATGGCACCCCCAGCCCTGCTGGGCCACCCCTGGGGGGCCTGTGCCCCAGCAGCGCTAGCCTCCTGGGCACTCCCTCCCCAATGCCTGTCAAGGAGGAGTTTCTGCCATAGCCCCCCTACCCCTAACCTGGCACGGCTCCATGGGCTGGGGCAATGGGGACTCGGTTGCTGGCACTGTGGCTCCTTGGGGACCCAAGAGACCCAGTGTGAGTTCCAGCCCTGCCATAGACCTTCAGGGTCAGCACAGACACAACACTCTGCCACCAGCATGCCCTCAGCCATCTGCACAGAGAGGGCAGGACCTCTTCCAGTTCCCCAGGCCCCTGGGACTCTGGGTTAGGGAGTCCTATGGACATCTCAAGTCCCGTGGCACTGTGTAAGACCCCACCTCCTCTGCAGGCTAAAGGGGGTACAGTGCGAGGTCCTACAGCAACCCTGGAGAAAGGGGATGGAGCTGAAAGAAAATCAGGGGCTTGCAGACCTAAATCTGTGGGCTTGCTAATGTGGCCCTTGCAACCTCACCCCTGCCCACTCCATCCTCCCTGGCCCCTCAGCCTTCTCTAGCCTGGCAGCTGAACCCAAGGCCATGGACAGGGCTGAGAGCCAGGCTGCTTTGAGTTCCCAGGGACTGCAGCACCATCGCCTCTGCTCAGTGAGGTTCAGTGGACCACTGGATTCCTCCCTAACCCCAGGAACTGAGCACGCAACTGGACGGGTGTGTCACCTGGAGAACGGAATCACGAGGCTGCAGCTTCCATAATAAATTGGTCTTTTCTTTTAAAACATGTGTATGAAGCATTCTATCCAGCTTGAAAGCCAACTCTGTAAGCGGTGTGTATTCCCTCGCCATCACGTGGGCCTCCATCAAGGTCACTTTGAAAGTGCCTTTGAAAGATCAAAGCAGACCTTGTTCAAGTAGATGACACAAAAAGCAGGTTCATTTTGTTAGCAAAATCAGCAGACTCCACCAATTGGCATTTGATGTGTTTTAGATCCTTCCAACAACAGATGACATTTATGGGTGCTTACCCATGCCAGGCATAGCTGGACCTGGGCTGCACACAGCCCTTGTCTCACCCGTGGTGCCCAGGCCAGCTGGAAGAGACTGCCATGGTATGTGTTCAGGTGATGCTGATAGAGCAGGGGGCCAAACCATCATGGCCAGGTGCAGGGCACTAAGGGAGCCCCAGTGGCAGGGAGAGCTGGGCAGGCTCCTAGCCAGCCTTGCAAGGTCTGGAAGGCTTCCTGGAGGAGGAAGGCTTCCTGTGTGTGGACTAACACCACCAGGACTAGGTGGTGCTCCTCAGGCCAAGAAGGGGAGGATGGTCAGAAAGGACGTAAGCATTACATCTTGAGAAGGTAACTCTGAGAAAGTCCTGGGAGGAGCTGCTCAGCTTCAGTCCCTTGCTGACCTGAGCAGGACTCTGCCTCCTGGGGCCTCCTCTCCCCCGAGGGCTCTGATGCCAGCTGCCTGCCCTGTGTTTACTGTTCTGGGAGGTGGCGAGGCCATAAAATGGTGCATTGCCCTTTGCTCTTGGTGAGCATGAGAGCCTGGTCCCAAGTGAATCCCAGCCTGGTCCAGCCCCTGCAGACCACCAAGCACTTCTCTCTCCCCCTCCTGGTATCTTTGTCACTACTAGTGGATACCCATGACATATGAGCCTGAGGGTCCCAAAAGGAAGGGCTGACTTCCAGGAAGCAGAGGGAGGTGGCTGGTGAGAAGGTGGCTGGCAGCAGGTGCACACAGTTCGAGGATCATCTAAAGCATTTGCTGTGTGACTCTGGGCAACTGCACCCCCTCTCTGGGCCATGGGTTTGGGTGTAGATCCTATTCCTGGGGAGTCTCAAGGATGCATTATCACATCAAGTCCCTATTCCCCATTTCCCACTCCCTGAGAGGCTCTGCCTGCCCAGCCCCCAGAATCCCACTGAACTCTACTTATTGAAATGTGGGAGACCAAACTTCCTGTTGTGACTCCGTTGTCAGACAGAGCCTGGGTCCCAGCATAACGACTTCCAAGCCATAGGACTTGAGACAAGTTCCTTAGCTGTTCCACGTCTCAGCTGCCTCTACTGCAAAATGGAAAGAAAACCCTGCAGCTGACCTGAGTGCTGAGTGTCACACGGGGTCCTGCACACAGTCAGCGCTGTGTCCCAGCCACCTGCTCCCCCGGCTGTTGCATCCTTGGGTGAGATGCTAGCAGGCCTAACTGGTGCTCTAACCACTCCCGCCCCCGAGGCTGAGGACAGATGGCAGCCTGTCCCCAGCCACAGGAAGACCTCTGCCCGGCAGGCTGCTGCAGCTCCACGTGGCAAGTCAGGAGCCTGGGTGGGCACATCAGTTGACTGGTGAGCACTGTCTATTGGCTTGGAGCACCATGGACAAGGAATCATGGCTAGGATAATGCCCAGGCTCCCTTGTGCTTTGTGGGAAGCTGGGGTGTTGTTATGACTCAGGAAAGCGGTCACTCGGGTCTCTGATAGACTTTGCAGCTACCCTTGGGGCTAAGAGGTGAATCCCTCTCAGGAACATCCATTGCCAGTCTATCTAGAGTGAGTCCATGTTCTGCTGCGGTGGTCCTGGGGACTTGGGACTCCCCTCCATAAACACTCACATGTGGTTCTGGTCACAGCCTCTAGCAAGCCAAAGCAATGCACATCAGCACTCTGCTTGCACTATTGCAGGGTCCAGGGCCCCTCCCCTCACCATGAGGACCTCAGTGATGTGGATGAGCCAGTCTCATCCCTGGCTACCGAGGAGATGGGCGTGGACCAAGCAGGGTGCAGGCACCCAGAGTTGGGAGTGGAGAGCTCCAAGAGAGAAAATCACCAGCAGCTGAGGGTGTGTGTGCAAGTATGCACATGAGTCTGCACATGTGTGCCTCCATGTAAGAATGTGTATGTTTGGGTGTGCCTGTTTGTGTGTGCATATGCCTGCGGCTACCATGTGTGTGCATGGTATGTGTGTGTGCGCAGTTGGTTGTGAGAGAGGCAGGTGGACTGTGGACTCAGTGCCTAGCAGCACAGTGGGCTCAGCATAGGACAGCACTGGTGGACACTCCCATCCCCAAGAGTTACCCCGGGCCCTCTTTCTCAGAATCACACCAGATGGACTAGCAGTCTGCAACCCCGCTTTTCTCGGCCGCCACTCCTCAGTGTAACCGAACACATGCTCCACCGTGACAAAGTCAGAACGTCTAAGCACATTAAAAATATTTATATGCATTTAAAAATATCTCCCTATATAATGAAAGGAAGTGCATTTTCATCTGACACTTCCCTTGCATCAGTATACACCTCCACTACACTTCTGGTTTGATGTGAGACTGAGAGAAGCAAGCAGAGAGAGGGAGAGAGAGCAAGCTGAGGGAAATGAGATGGAGGGGCTGTTCTTTGGATTCCTAAGTGGTTGTTTTGCTGAGTGGTACCCAAACCTCCTCTGGAATTGGGTAGGAGGGACACTGCTGGCAACAACTGCCAGCCATGCTTGGCCACAGAATTCCCAGCCTGTCGTATAATGAGGAAACTGGGCCTGCAGAGGCTCCACTAACTGGTGTGGGCAACATCTTCCAGACAATCTGGAGTTTTGTTTCATCAGAGAACAGGTCTTGCCAGGCAGGGCTGTGGTGATGAGGAGAGGGTGGCAGACTGAGGGGACCGGAGGACACAGACTGGGTGGGGTCCAACTCCCTGATTTTGGCTGTAACTTCGCAGCTACATCACTGAGTGATTTTGCCAGTCCCGACTTCTCTGGGACTCAGTTTCAACACCTGACAGGCATGGCCCTACACCCACATGCAGCCCCCAACCCCAGTGATTGCTATGGATGCTCACAGGCCACCCTAGGACGCATTTGTTCCAGGAAAGACAATGTCTCCTCCTGTCCCCCTCCCTGGCAGGATTGGGGCTGACAGGTGGGAGATAGATACCGAGCCTTCTGCCTCACTCTACTCCCTGTACCCGCGGCAATGAAACCCAAGTATCAGTGCCAGGGTGGGGATGGGCTGCTCAGCAAAGTGCACCTCTCCTGAAAGAGACTACGCTAACAACACTTGGGGCAAGAGAGGGGCTAAAGCACTTCCTCCCAAGAGCCCTCTCGGCTTTAGCTTCAAAGCTTAGATACTGCATGCTGTGTGACCCTGGGCACATGACTTCCTGTCTCTTAGATGACTGGCTCAAGTATACAATGGGATGTACATGCCTGAGTCTTCTCAGACCATTGGAAAAAATTAGAAATCAGATGCTGAGTGTAGATGGACATCCTGTGCAGGTTTATAGGTGTATACTGAGGCTGCCCTATGCCCCTATACACCTATACACCTTGGTGCAGGTGGGAGCAGGGCACAGGAGACCTCTTCCTCCTGGGGCTGAGAGCCGTTGACCCGCCCTGGGTGGTCAGCTAGGTAGGGTCTAGGTGGCAGGGCTGGAGCTGTGGGGTTGATGCCCTCCCTAAAGCCCAAGCTGGCATTTAAATCCTTCTGCCGTGGTGCCAAGCTCCAGGGACAGAATCGATTGTTATCTTCCCCTCTCCCAGTGGGGTTCCCTCCCCATGAGGTCCCCTGGGAGGTAGACAAGCACACCCATGATACATGTCTGAACTGTGAGAGTGAAAGGCATGATTTATAACAGACAGGTGTCTTTCAATTTACATTCTCCCATCACAAGTTGGAAATATCACAGGCAGAGACACCCTGGCACACCTACCCCACCCCTGGCACAGCGGAGTGCACTTTGGGTTGCTGACCATCGTGATGGAGCTGTGTCTGGGAACTGGCAGGAGAGCATCAGGCCACATGTTTACGATACGCAGAAAGACAGAGATTCAACATCCATTTCCTATGGCTCAATGTCTTCAACTTGGCACCAATGCCAAGTCAAAGACACATGAGGTTGGGCCATCAGGGATGGTCTGCACAGGTCAGCCCACTGGCACACGTGGGCTCAGTGCCCGCAAACCAACGCACAGGTCTGCTCTAGCTACTGCTGTACCGTCCTGGCCACAGACTTACTACATCTTCCAGGTGCTCTTGAAGACTGGCCAGGCATACTACAGTTGCAAGTCCATTTCACAGATGCAAATCCTAAGTGCCTAGACAGGAGCCCAGGTACTGATGCTCTCAGCTGCAAACCATCTCCCCAGCCGGGTGGCACCTGCCTGTCCCTTCTCCTAGGCCAAATCTCTGCCATTTCATCTTCAACAGAGTGTTGAAGACCACTGCTTGCCTCGAAGGTTCATGAAGCCTGCCTTTGTGTCTAGTGTCACTGAGTAAATAACTCACCTTCCATCCTTCAGTGTCATAGCACCTGCCTCGCCAGACACCTTGCTCAGGATCTGCATACTTGGGAAGCCCAGTAGGTGTTGTTAAACAATGACACGAGCAGCCCACAGCAAGGCAGGCAAGTCCAGACAGAGAGGTGTTCACTGTGCACCTGCTATTACTTGCCCCTGGCTACTACATGTTTGCTATGCTCTAGACCTCCCCGAATCTTCACACTCTGTGAGTCTTGAGTCTTATCCCCATTTTCCAGGCAAGCAACAGAGCAGCCACAGGCAAAGAGCAGGATGCTAGAATTCAAAGCTGGGCTATTAGTTTCCAAGCGCACAGCCTGACTCTCTTCTAGTCCCTACTGGGGAAACGGAAGTCTAGAGAGGGCAGGTCACTTGCCCAAGGTCACGCAGGAGACTGTAGCTGAGGCCGAGAGCTTCCATCGCCAACCCCCCTCCCCACCTGCTTGGCCCCCTCCAATCCGCAGCTCTGCGTGCGGGGGCGCGCACATCCCCCCGCCATCCATCCATCAGCCGGTCTGTCTGGGTGTCTACGCGGGTGCAACCGAGTACCTCTCCCCAGCCTCGGCGCCGCGCACAGAGGCAGAGCGTTCGCTGCGTGCCCAGCCCGCGCCCCACGCCCGCAGCCGCCAGACGGCTTTGCCGGTGCCCGCCCCGCTCCAGCCGGTGCGCGGGAGCCGCCGGGGCAAAGGCGCAGCGGCCGGCCAGCGGCCAGGCTCTGCTGCCCGTCTAGCTCTCTGCGCTCTAAGGAAGCCGCGCCGCCGAGCCACGGAGAACCACTCTCCAGGATGAAGAAGCTCCAGGGAGCTCACCTCCGCAAGGTAGGGCAAGAGGGCGGGGGCGCAGCTGAGGGAGGGTGGCAGAAGCCCGCCCCCATCAAGTCCTCCTTGCGCTGGGGTAGGAGTGGGAAGAGACCTGGAGGCAACACCCAGGGGATGCTCAGGGGGTCACGGCAGTGAAATTACAGGGAGGGGCGGGGTCAAGATCTTCCTTCTTCCCTGCCCCCACACCATCCTCACCTGAGATTCGGATGGAGCCCACTGGGGGCCCTGCTCTCCTGAGCCAGGCCCTGCCAACAGGTGTCTGAACCCCCAGGGGGCACTGGGCAGGGGTGGCTGGAAACTGGCTCTCTCCTCTCCCCACTGCCCCTCCCCCAATCTATCCAGGGGCTGATTGCTTGGGGAAGGGGATGCTAGAACACCTGGGTACTAGCCTTAAGCTGGGTGGATATAGGGAATCCAGAGTGGAAGCTGGGTGTCTCCACCTGGTCTTCATCCGTGCACCCCACCCCTTCTCTTTGGGGTTCCCTGCTAAGACCCCAGCAGGACTGCAGGGAGGGGCGCTAGGGGGGGAGGACATGGAAGGGAAGTAAGGCAGGGAGTGGGGGATGGGAGACCCAGGATACAGAGAGAGCAGAGGTTGTGGGTCCACATCTCTGCCTTTTTGTGGCCCAGCCAAGTTTGGGTTGGGTATGGGGAGGGAGAGGAAGGGGAAGTGGGCTGGCTTAGGCTTCCAAGTACAAGCCGTCTAGGGAGTCTGCCACTGCATTCATCCTGTGACTTCGGCCAAGTCCAGTCCCTGAGCTAAACCCCCTGTGGTCAGCTGCTGCTAGGTGTGGGCCATGGAGCGAAAAAACCTGTCCACAGGAGCTAGGATTACACACACACATGACCTCATGCAAGCTCTCTGCCCTCTGGCACCGGGCATGGAGCCATCCTGCTAAGTGGCTCTTTTTTACCTGCTGACACGGGTGATTTCTTGGGACAGCTTTTGTCTCTCAGGTCCTATGCCCACTCCTCCCCACCCCTGCTGACCCTCTGACACCCTTCTCTGCTCTTTGCTATCCCTGCCTGCTGCTAGGCCACGCACATATGTCAGTGGCCATGTTGTGGAAAGTGTGGGTATAGGGCTGTACATTGAGCAAGCTGCAGCCTATTGAAGCCTGCCACAGCTCAGGCTATTCTGTGGACTCCACTTCATAAACAAGACAACTGAAGTGAAGAAGAGGCATTGGGACTACTGCTTTCTGATTGTACACTAGAACCATCAGGGAGGGTGGGGCTGCCTGCTGGGTGGGGGTCCCCTTCCGTTAGACTCCAGGAGAGGGGTCAGGGAATGAGCAGGCCCAGGCATCACCAGGGACAACGTGGTTCCTAGCCTCTGGCCCCTCAGTGTGCCACCTGACCTTGGGCTATTCCTTTCCTTCCCAGATACATGGTTTCCTCATCTGCCTGAAGAAGTTGGACTCTGGATCCCCATGGTGGGGTAGGAGGGTAGGGACCTGGAAGCCCCTCTCTCCTCTCCCGCTGTAGGGTCAGTGCAGAGTTGGGCAGGCTTGGGTGTGTGTTCCTGCATGACCCCAAAGTGGGGAGGAGGGCTCAGATGTGGGACCCTCACGCCCAGGTGTCCAACCTTGACCCAATCATTGAATTGCTTTCCTCTGCCTCAGGATCAGTTCCAGCCTCACTGTGCTGGCCTCCTGGGATTTACCCTTGGCAGAGCTGGGGGGTTCTGGAGCCCTCCTGAGTGACCCTGCTTTGGAGGACCCCATCCTTTGCCCCTGAAGCAGGAGCAGGCTTCCCCATGATTGGGGGAGGAGGGGCCGCACGCGCTAGCAGCATCCTGCTCTTGGAACTCCTGTTGTCATGGAAACAGAGAGCCAGGACCGCTCTGTGAGCAGGGAAAGGGCAGCTTCTCTGGGGGGATCAGAGGAGTCTCATTAGCAGACCCTCTTGCCAACTGGCCTGGCAGGGCTGGACAAATCATCCCAGGGTGGCAGGCCTGCCTCAGTACCCAGTGCCAGGGGCCAGCATTAGCTGGCACCTTTCTGTCCCTCCTGGAGCTCACCTGGAAACCAGAGCTGCCAGCAGAGGCAGTCTTGGGAAGTGGGCCATGGAGAAGGAGGGGCGTTTTCACGCCAGTCTGGGAGCTGCTGCCCCCTCGCTTTGGCGTGTCCGAGAGCCCAGCCAAGGAACTGCCAGGCACATGTGTGCTTCAGCTCTTGAAGCTCCTTACTTTCCAAGCAGCTCTTTCATGCTCTCTTCACTGTCACCGAAACCCAGAGTCATGCCAAGTTATCCCTGTCCCCAGTGGCCAGCAGCCAGCCTCATGCAAGATCATCCTATTATCCCATGGTTGCTGTCTGAGCCCCCATTGTCCTGGCCCTGCTCCACAGCCAGCATCTCCAACCTTGTGCCGCCCAGGGCAAGCCTCCTTTCCTGTCTGCATCTTCACCCCAGCCAAGCCCCTGCTGCCACATTGTGTGTGTGTGTGTGTGTGTGTGTGTGTGTGTGTGTGTGTGTGTGTAAGGAAGGGGACAGTCCCTGTACCTGCTCTGAGCCAGTCTTCAGACACCACAAGGTGCCCCCACAGAATGTGTTGCCACATCCTTCCTGGGACCCTCAGAGCCACAAACCAGTAGACATTTCACGTTTCTGCAAAATCATCCCAACCCAGTAGGTTAGTTCCTTGAAGCCCATTTGCCATAGGAAATTGGGGGAGGGGGGTGCTGTATGCTAACGCACTTGGAAAGTCACTGTGCAGATTGGCCCATTAAAGGATCTGGCAAGTCCCTATAGCAGACACAGATGTGGCTTTATATCAACCCAACTTCTCCCGAACAACCCTTTACTCCATGGGGCACCTTTGAAGATCCCAAGAGATGTGTTTCTGGAAGACTGGTTTATACAGTCCTCCATTGTCTGGATGGAGACGGTGAGGCTCAGTAGTCACCCAATGAATTAGTACTGACCTTGGACCAGAATGGCAGATTGCTCACCCTCTGTGTAGTGGCATTGCACTTTTTCTGCAGACAGCAGGGGTCCTTCCTGCTCTGAAGTTCCTGGATCCTATCTGGGGGATCCACCTTCATCTTCACCCTTCTCTGTCATGGCCGGTGAATTTCAGAAGCAAGCAGATACATGCAGCTGCTCCTTTCTCCTGACCAATTCTCAGGGTGACATGCTGGGGGGTGCTAGGAATTGTCAGTTGTTGTCCTGTGTCTTGGGGCTTACAGACAGGTGCTCAGCTCTAGCAACTTGTGAACAAATTAGCTTACACCCCACAGGGTCAGGATCCCCAGTGGCTGCAGGACAGCTTCCCCTCCTAGCCCCAAGCCCAAAGGGAGAGCGAATGCCCAGCTGGCCTCGCTGCCTACCTTGAGTCATGGAAGGAGACCTCAGAGACATCAGTCCTTTGTGCTGCTTTGCATTTGTGTCTCCTCTGGTGACAGCAAAATTGTGGCTTTCTAAGACAGATCAGGGCTTCTCCCTTGCCTATGAGCAAAAATTCACAGCCTAGGTGGGCCTGTGCTTGAGCCACTAAGCCTCAACCTAAAGCCTCCCTCAGGGGAGCTCCCAAGCCCTCCAAACCTTTTCTATGCAAAGGAGCTCCATCCTCTCCTGTAACACCAAACACCCCCAATTCAGGCCACCTGCCCTTCAGATATGCTCCATATTGTGCGTTTCTTAAAGTCTGCTGTCCAGAAACAAAACTGCAATGAAGGGAGAGTGAAGCCACGGGTGTTCACGCCAGGAAGCCTTGGGCTCCATATCCAGCCTTGGGCAGCCTGGTAGGGACGGGCTACAGCATGACACCTCTTTCCTGGTGATTAAATGGAGCATAGGGGAGTATCTAGCTCAGAGTCATGGTTTTGGTTTAGTTTTTGAGAGACTGAGAAAGTCTCATCCACTGGTATAGTCCCCAAGGCATGACAAAGACTGGGCAGTTCCGAGCACTCAATCTAGACCTCCCAAGTGGGTAGCAGGGACCCAATTTCTTGAGCCATCTGGAGCCGGAGCCAGAGAGTGAACCTGGGGACTCTGATGAAAGGCACAGGCATCTTTCCCAGCACCTTAACTGCCAGGCTAAATAACTACTCTTTTACAGTATATATTTATTTTTCAGAGTTGTGTGGAATCTGATCCCAGGTAACATAGTGGAACATTTGATGTAGCAAGAACATAGCAACTGCTTAATACCCAGGAATAAAGATCATCATTTTCACCATTAGGCTCATCCCTTGGATTTGGCTCCTGTGTCAAGGTCACCTTTACAGGCTCCTGTAAGGTCAAGGTCACCTTTTTAGGGCTGACACACCCAAAGGACTCCTGCACATGGCTGGCACATCCCAAAAAACAGCACTTGTATTTCCTGTGTCCAATTTAGCGCTATTCATTTTCGCATTCTTGTTTGGGGGCCACAGTTCCTGCCCAGCCTCACTTTTCTGCCTTTCCCTTTTGTTCTCTCTCCCTGGTAGCCTGTCACCCCAGACCTGCTCATGACCCCCAGTGACCAGGGCGATGTGGAGCTAGACATGGACTTGGCTGCAGACCGGGGAAACTGGACGGGCAAGCTGGACTTCCTGCTGTCCTGCATTGGCTACTGTGTGGGCCTGGGCAACGTGTGGCGGTTCCCCTACCGGGCCTACACCAACGGAGGAGGTGGGGCTGCGGTGCTGGGGTGGAGGGCACTGTGAGCTTTAGGTGACCTTGGCTGCTATCTCCTACAAGACCTGGGGCATGGTTGGTTCTAAATAGTTAACACTAGGAGGCGAGAACTTATCCTCCTGTCCTTGCCGTCACCAAGCCCTTCTACCTTCCTTCCTGTGCTGTGATGACTACTCATATGGCTTTCTCCTAAGGCAGGCACTTCCTGGGCCCTCTTACCACCTCCTCCAGAGCTGTGCTCCATTCACCTTTCCTATCCTGAATCTTCAGTCCCCCCCCCCCCCTCCTGGTTCCTGGTGCCTTCCATTCTGACTACAAACACATACTCTCCTATCTTTGTCCCTATTTGCCTGTCAAGTTGCTGTTCTGAGTCTCATTCACAGTAGCTGGGGTTGAGCACTTACCGTCTGCCAGGCCCCGGGCTCAGTGCCCATCTCATTTAGCCCGGATGACAGCCCTCCTGGGAAGGCACCATGGAAGTGCTGAGGCAGCCGGGGGCTCGGATAGGCCAGTTCTCTTGGCCAAAGTTGCAGGGTGGTAGACTCTACTTCACAGCCCAGGACTCACTTCTCCAGGATCGGGTGCTCCCATTGGTACATGCTGCTGCCCTGCCTGTCTCTACCTGGGAATGGAAAGACAGCTGAGTAACACTAGATGGGACAAAGAGAGGATGTGCTTATGTGACTGGGAAGTGCAGGATGGCACGAGCTCTGGTGCTCTAGGGTTGCAGTGTCGCTCATGGCTGGCTCCAGGCACTCACACACACTCTGGAGTCTCTCTGCTGACCTCATTTTCTCCCAAGACTGGCTTCCTCCCTATAGATGGGGGGTGAGGGTGGGGTTGGCCCCAGGCAACTCTGGGATGACTTCATTCTCAGCCAAGTTTAGCAGCCCCAGGGTATGCCAGCAGGATCTGAATGAATCCATATAGAGTTGCAGGGAAGGCCTCCGATTGGTGGCCTGGGCTGTGTGCCCACAGCCAGCAGCCGGCAGGGAGTGGAGGCGGGCAGGCAGGAGGGCAGGAGCGGCTGGGCTCCTGGGCCTGGCAGCTCTCCCGGAACCATATGGCAGTGGGCACTTCTCTAAAGGGGGCGATGGCTGCCAGCAGGAGAAGCAAAGGGGAGGGGCTGTGAAGCTCAGGAAACCACAGGTGGCTGCCACCAGGATAGGGGTTGGGGAGGTATGGCAGGGAGTGGGGGAGGCTGATGGAGGAGGGATCAGAGCAAGAGTCTGAAAATCTGGGGGCTGAGCAGGTTGCTCTTCCACTCATTCAGTTCCCATTTATTCAGTCACACTCAGCACATGGTTCTTACCTGTGTGCTGTTAGTCTGGTCTTCTTTTGGGCATAGGAACCCCGCAAGATGAGCGGTCCCTGCCAGCTGCCCTCGGCCCTGTGTTACCCACTGTGAAAGAGAAGACACTTCTGCAGGCACAGGATTTCAGCCCCTGGGAGAAGGAACCCCCATATGGACAGCTGGTGTCAGCCAAGCAGGGACTGTGTGGGAACTGACCCACCTGAGACCTTTCCGCCTCCGCCCTCCTCCTCCTCGCAGGTGCCTTCCTCGTGCCCTACTTCCTCATGCTGGCCATCTGTGGCATCCCCCTCTTCTTCATGGAGCTCTCCCTGGGCCAGTTCTCCAGCCTGGGACCCCTGGCTGTCTGGAAAATCAGTCCCCTCTTCAAAGGTGAGGCCTTCATGGTCCTAGGAGTGGTTTGGATCTGGGGGAGGGGTGTGTGTGTGTGTGTGTGTGTGTGTGTGTGTGTGTGTGTGTGCAAGCCCTACTCCACCCCTCAAGGTCCAGGCAGACAGGGAGAAACAACCCGGAAGGCTGCTGCCTGCTGGCTGGTGCTCAACCCAGTGCCCAGCAGCGCCTCCCCGTCCAACAGGTGCCGGAGCGGCCATGCTGCTGATCGTGGGCCTCGTGGCCATCTACTACAACATGATTATTGCCTACGTGCTCTTCTACCTCTTCGCCTCCCTCACCAGCAACCTGCCCTGGGAGCACTGTGGTAACTGGTGGAACACAGACCTCTGCCATGAGCACAGGGGCCCCCAGGACCGCAACGGGGCACTGCCCCTCAACCTCACCAGCACCGTCAGCCCCAGCGAGGAGTACTGGAGGTCAGGCAGGGCTGCAGCCCAAATCTGGGGGGGTGGTGGTGGAGGAAGTTGGGAGGTGATGCCAAGGCACAGCAGGAAGCCCTGGTGTGACCCTCCCCGTGCCGAGCCTCTCAGTGGTGGCTTGTGTTGAGGTCTAGGCCAGGCGGACCCTGGGTCCTGCTCCCAGCGCCTGACCTGGCCAGCTGCATGATCTTATGTGTGGGTTTGGTTTCTCTTGCTTTGTCTTCAGTGTGGGGATGGTAACAGTAGCAATTCCATAAGGCTGCTGTAAGGCTCAAGGGGAAGGGTGCATACTAATTGTGCCATCAGAATGGGGGGTGGTGGGGCGTGCTCAGCCAGGGCTGGCTGCTGCTGCTAATGGCAATGGTGACATTCTGGTGGCTGAGCTTTGTCTTCTGCCGTGGGAGTGCTCATACTTCTCCATCCAAGATGTAGTTCAGTCCATCACTTACACAATCAGGCTTCTACTATCAGCATCAGCTACAGTAGAGGTGGAGAGCACTTGGCAGCATGCAGCCTAGACCAGGCGTGATGTAGATGCTCTCTGCCTAGTCTAGCAGGAGAGACATGATGATAACAGAGTGAGGACTGAATGGGAGAAGAATGTAAGACAATGTGGGTAAAGTGGTCATCATGATGCCAGGTGCCTGTGAGCCTCAGCTCCCCGTGCCAGAATTCAACCATTCCTCAGCATCCCTCCCTCCCCACTGTATAGTCTGCAAAACGGAAGCTTGCTTGGTAGCTACTGAAAGGGTGATGTTGACATCACGAACTCCTGATTCTGTTCTGGAACTTTCTCTGGTGACCTGGTCCCTGAGCTGGGAGACTTTAACCAAAGAACACAGAGCTGAGTACCCTATACATGCAACTACCAGGAACCGCTCTTAGAGATTTTACCCACAAAGGGGTCTTGTGTCTGGTTGAATCTCCAACCTGCAAGTACTACATGGTTCTACTCATTTGTCCGATTCAAGTATCCACAGAGTCTGCTCCTGCTGCAGTGTGTCAAGATGAGCCTGGGTCTGCAATTTAGCCAAGGAACTTGATGTGATGTCTCCATGGCAATGCCATGGTCCACTGCCTTTGCCTGGGTGCAGGCAAGAGGCACATGGCACTGTCAAGAGGACTTAGTTGTATGCAGCTTAGTGAAGGGACCTCCCAGAGGGGCAGGAATCTGGAAAGGGGGAGCACCCACGACCAGCAGGAGGGAGAGCTGTTAGCTCCTCTACACCAAGGGGACCAGTGAGGGATGCAGGGGAGAAAGCAGCCCTGGGAGAGGGGGTGCCCTTGTGTGCACAGGTAGAGCCCCCGGTCCTTCAATCCTCCAATATCCTGTTGCTGCCAAAGTCAAGTGGAAGCCAACAGGAAGGGACCCTGGATGCTGGGTTGTCCATAGAGGCCATCCTCCTAGGAGCAGAGCCTGGGGGGATAGAGAGGGCCAGAGCCATGTCCACAGACTAATCCCTGGTCCAGATATGGGCAGGGTGCCAGGTGCCTCTCCCTCAGGCCTGTGTCTCCCACAGCCGCTACGTCCTGCACATCCAAGGCAGCCAGGGCATTGGTAGTCCTGGGGAGATCCGCTGGAACCTGTGCCTCTGCCTGCTGCTGGCCTGGGTCATCGTCTTCCTCTGCATCCTCAAGGGGGTGAAGTCCTCAGGCAAGGTGAAGTCTGAGCGGCCCTGGAGGCCTGGGCATCAGCTGAGGGGAGGGGGCTTCCTGGACTGGGTCTGGGAAGACCAACAGCTTCCACTGGAAGAGGGTATGCTGGGACGGGGGCCCAGTGTGGTGTGCGACAGAGCGATTCAGGGAGATAGTGGCAAGGCAGCATTAGAGGGTTTAAGGCTCTGGTCCCTCCCCAGAATGTGGCATCTTGAAGGGCTCAACTGGTTTGTGGAAAGTTTGCATGGGAGAAAAGGTATGAGTCGGGACTTGTGGAGGTACAAGTGACCCCATCTGGTTCTGTCTGGTGTCACACCTAGTGGAATGCCAGGAGGGTGTGTGCTTCAGCCGAGCCTTCCACTTCCATCCATGCACTTGGTCATCTTCCCTGTGCATTGGCTTCCTTCTTCATGTCGTTATCCCTAGCAGCCCTGCTCAACCCAGACTCCTCATCTGCCCAGTTCTCAAATGTCCAGGACTCAGGTCTGGGTGGAGCAGCTGGGCCAAATCACTCTCTGTGGTTGGGAGATTGCAATGCCCTGCTGAGCCCAGCTTGGGTCTTGTGCCCATTCCTGGGGTTGGGAAGTTGGCTTAGTGTCATTTAGAGAAAGCCAGGGCCCTGTTCTCTGAAGTGAAGCAGACAGGCCCCTGGGAGTCAAAACCTCACCTGTCCGAGGGAGGGCACGGAGGCATGGGAAGGGAATGCGGGCTGACTAGGAAGATCATGGCAACCTGACTGGTGTCCATCTTTTGTTGCTTGTCCCTCTGCCACATGCTGGGAAGTGTCCACAAGGAGGAGACAAGGACAGGGGAGAGCCAGGCAAGGGGGAGCTTAAGCCTGGATGGTGTCGGCTGCAGGAGGAGCAGGAGGTTTGGGGAAATGGGGTTAGTGAGAACTCGGGGAGCTAGGACATGGAAGACATCTGGTAGCCATGTGCAAGGGCTTTGGGGAAGGGCAGGGCAGGCGTGGCCTGGACCAGGAAGAAGGCAGTGGAGGTGGGTTTAAAGCAGGTGCCAACACTGCTGGCCATGGGCTGCATCGGTGGAGGGAGGGATGAACTTCCACTCCAGGTGAAGAGGTGAGGGATTGAGGAAGGTGGGAGCAAAGACGACCACCAGGTCCCCATGCCCTGGGCCCCCACATGTCGCCCCCCCTCAGGTGGTGTACTTCACGGCCACGTTCCCCTACCTCATCCTGCTCATGTTGCTGGTCCGTGGAGTCACCCTTCCCGGAGCCTGGAAGGGTATCCAGTTCTATCTCACCCCACAGTTCCACCACCTGCTGTCTTCCAAGGTGAGGCCCTCTGTGGAGTTGGGGTGCACAGGGAGGGTTCACTGAGCCCAGAAAGAGAGTTCACTGCAAAAAGAAGGCAAGGGGAGCACTTGGCAAGGGATTGCCAAACGTCCAGCCCCAGGATCGCGGGCTGCATGTGCCAAGTCCTTCCTGCAAGTCCTTCTACAACCATCCCTGCTATGAGTGACAGAGGAAGAACCTTGAGCCCCAAATTGTTTGTGGGCAGTGTAAGATCACACAGCTGGTGAGTAGCCAAGCTGTGACTGCAGCTTGGCTCACTCTGACCCCAAATCCCAAGGAAGACCTTAGGGACTATGTCAGTGCTGTGGCACTGGGAGCAAGTGTGGCCAGCCTGCGGACTGGTGTCTGTGCCCAACCCTACACTGGTGCTCTGCATTTACGTTATCACAGATTCTCTCCTCACCGTCACAGGGAGGCATGTGCCCTTCCTCCCTGCCCTGCTGCAGATCTGTAGTCCAGATAATTGATGGGGCTTATCCAGGCTACCCAGTTGGGGTCCATACCCAGGCCCCTTGGACCAACTCCAAGGGAGGAAATACACATACCAGCCACTGGGACACACAGCTTTAGGCACTGCTTCTCCAGAATGGGACTAAGAAAGAGGCCATCTCCCAGAGCCTGGGTGGGTGGGAAATGGAGGCCCAGGGAAAGGAAGGGGCTTATCCATGCTGCATGTGAGACAGGCTCTTCTGCACACCACCTGTCACTATCAGGGGAGGGGAGCGGGGACGTTACTCTGCCCCAGCGGCCCCTGCCCCAGCCCTGCCTCTCTGTCCTCCTGCATCCATCCCTGGCACAGGTGTGGATCGAAGCTGCCCTGCAGATCTTCTATTCTCTGGGTGTGGGCTTCGGGGGTCTGCTCACCTTTGCCTCCTACAACACATTTCACCAGAACATCTACAGGTCAGTGCCCACAGCCTGCAGCCCCCCAGCAGCCAGGGAGGGCCTCGCAGTCAAGGGCAGGGCCAGCTCACCATGGCCTGGGGCTGGAATTCTCCTGGTAGAGACACCTTCATCGTCACTCTGGGCAATGCCATCACGAGTATCCTGGCTGGGTTCGCCATCTTCTCCGTGCTGGGCTACATGTCTCAGGAGCTGGGTGTGCCTGTGGACCAAGTAGCCAAAGCAGGTGAGCTGATGGCCAGGCCCTGGGGACCAGAGAGATTGTAGAGGGCATAGAGGGGGAATATGTGTGTGTGTGCACAACTATGCATACAAGTGAGCCTGCCTTGCTGGCATCTGGGTGTCCATATACTACGGGCCAGATGTGTCCATCAATGTATGTTAACCTGTGGCTGGAGTTGAGCTGGTTTCTGTATGAAATGGGCTTGTGTGATGAGCCTTGCTTACCCAGATTTGTCACATCCTGTGTTGAGGCGGCTGCCTGCAAGGGAAATGAGGGTGAGAGTGATCTTGTAAGTCAGTGCATCCCAGGCCAGGGGAAGCGTTTGAGGACAAGGGGTTTCTAACCAGTTCAAGAGCAAGTGTGTGTTATAACAAAGCTGTGTGTGGATTTCAAATGGTTTTGCACCATACTAAGCTTTTTAGTCCATCTTTCCATGAATTTTTTGAAGTACCATTGTTTGTTCTCAGGAGGGGCTGGTATTTTGGTCCTGTGCTTATTTGTGTATTTTTTAAGTCTTTAAATTGAAAACATTGTTTATTTGAAAAGCAAAGTGATAAAGAAAGGGAGAGCGCCTTCACCCGCCAGTTCATTCCCCAAATGGCCGCAACAGCTGGGCCCGGATGAAGCCAAAAGCCAGGGCCTCCATCCTGCTCTTCCTTGTGGGCAGCAGAGACCCAACAACTAGACCATCCTCTTCTATCTCCCCAGGCACACCAGCAGGGAGCTGGATGGGAAGCGGAAGAGCCAGCTCATAAATCAGCATGGCAAGTGGCAACCCAACGCACTGTGCCACAATACTGGCCTCTATTTATTATTGGCTAGACCTGTGTCCTTGAAGTTAGGGCAGCGCTAGAAGCTTGCATTTAGTGTACATCAGAGTCTGACTCATGAGCATGGGCAAGTGGATATAAGTACCTGTGTGTGTTTGGGAGGGCCTGATGCATCCCCTGGTTGCTGACCCATGTACCCTTGGCCTAGGCCCTGGCCTGGCCTTTGTTGTCTACCCACAGGCCATGACCATGTTGCCCCTGTCGCCCTTCTGGTCGTTCCTCTTCTTCTTCATGCTGCTGACCCTTGGCTTGGACAGCCAGGTGAGCTTTGGCTATGGCAGTGGGCACCATGTGTGTATGTGCATGGATGAATATATTTGTATACAGATGTGTGTACACATGTGTGTGTGCGTGTACACGCAGGCAGATGCAGAACTCTGACTCCCCACCCACTTCCCCTGCAGTTTGCCTTTTTGGAGACAATTGTGACGGCTGTGACGGACGAGTTCCCATACTACCTACGGCCCAAGAAGGCTGTGTTCTCGGGGCTCATCTGCGTGGCTATGTACCTGATGGGCCTGATCCTGACCACTGATGTGAGTGACACTGCAGGCAGGACAGGGGCCACATGGGGCAGGGTGGACGCCTGTAGCAGCGTCTCTGACCGTCCAGGCAGCTGCTGTCCCACCTCTTCCCCACCCCCGGGCCTGTCTCCTTCCAGGGAGCAATCTGGCCTTGAAGTTCAGGCAGGGTCCCAGCTCTGAGGTCTAAGTCTGGGAACCATCCTCACTTCTGTACTTGCTGAGTGAGCTCGGACTTCTGCCTTCCAGCGCCTGCTTAGCCAGAGCAGGGGCTAACACCTGGCAGGGCTGTAGGGAGGCCCAGGTGGGAAGATGCCTGTGAGGAGCGGGCCTGGTGGTGATCACCACAACAAACCACACGATAACATAGCTAGAGACAGCAGAGCGTGAGGCCTGGGCCAGGGACCCCAGCGCCGTGGCTTATTTTGCAGGGGGGCATGTACTGGCTGGTCCTTCTAGACGACTACAGTGCCAGCTTCGGGCTCATGGTGGTGGTGATCACCACATGTCTTGCCGTCACCCGTGTGTATGGTGAGAAATGCATAGGCGGCAGCCCAGATTCCCCATGGTGGGAGCCTGGAGGGAGGGGGGGGGTCTCCCCTACAGCAGCCCTGTACCTGCATGCCAGGTCCAGAGGTATGTTTGGTGGCAGAGGGGCTGCACTGGAGCCGAGGGCACAGTGGGGTGGGCCATTCTTCCTCCTCTTTGCCCCGTGCAGGCATCCAGAGATTCTGCCGAGACATCCACATGATGTTGGGCTTCAAGCCGGGCCTCTACTTCAGGGCCTGCTGGCTGTTCCTGTCCCCTGCCACGCTCCTGGTAACAACAGTAGGAGGGAGGGGTGCTCCCCGGGGCTTGGGACTGAGAGCAGGAGTACTCCTTAGGCCCCAACATTCTGATCTACTTCCCCTCTCTAACACCCCGGGCTTTGCAGCTCTACTTGGTTGGTAAAGTGGGTGGGGCAACCTGGAGGCTACACTCTGTGGGTCCTGGGGTTGTTATAGGCCATGTCTGGAATAGTTGGCAGCTATGGCGTCGAGATCGCCTCCACACAGAGCTGGGCTGCTTGCTCAGGCCTGCCAAGGAGCCACAGCTGGGCTTCCTTGGGGGTGAATCTCAGGCCCACTGTGATGCTGGAAGTTTCTATCCTCCCCCCATCCCACGTGGCAGGCCCTGCTGGTGTACAGCATCGTCAAGTACCAGCCTTCTGAGTATGGCAGCTACCGCTTCCCGGCCTGGGCTGAGCTGCTGGGCATCCTCATGGGTTTGCTATCCTGCCTCCTGATCCCGGCTGGCATGCTGGTAGCTGTGCTGCGAGAGGAGGGCTCGCTGTGGGAGGTGAGTCTGCCCTCTGCCCACTGCCCCTAGCCCCCAGCCCTCTCTGCCTGGGCTTCCTATAGGGACAGAAGGACCTGCACCAGAGGCTGTCCTAGTGACTGGAGCCTGAGTGACCCTACCGGAAAGGGAAGGGAGAGAGGGTGATGCACAGTGTGGCAGCCACTGGCCTGGGCAGCCACGACCTCCCCTGTGCCCTGCTACCCCAGTACCCCCAGGCAGGGTAGGGGGCAGGGGGCAGTGAGCACTGCAGAGGAGTAACTGCCTGGCTCATGTGCCCCCTGTACCCCCTTTCCCACTTCAGGGATCAGAATCCTCACTCTGCCATTGGTCAGTCAGTTACCATTCTCCTCCCAACCTTTGCTGCTCCATCTTTAAAATGGACACAATGATACCTGCCCACAGGGCCGCAGTTGAGGATGGGTCCATGGCAGAGGCTCTGGGCTCCATTCTGAATGAGAGATGCCATTGGCATTCCCTGGGCAGTGAGCGCTTACTTAGCACAGACCACCACCTGGGTCCTTGTCCACAGCGGCCTCACTTATGGTCAGCCACCTTCCCGCCTTGTTCATGTTAAGGCTGGGGAGCTGGCAGAGGCTCTGGCAGAGTGGTCTGAGGAAAAAGGAAGTGGGATGTGCAGGCCAAGTCACCATTAGTCAGTGCCCTCCTTCTGTGGCAACTGGGGTCCTAAAGGAAAAGTTCATGGTCAGAATAGGGCAGAAGATCAGGGCCAGGAAGGGCCTCCATCCTCTGGGTTTAAGGTTCTTTGTCCAGAACCCAATATTTAAGGGAGGGGCCCCGCCAGGGCCAGGGAATGACAACAGCAGCAGAGTGCAGGAGCCTGGGCTAGTGCTTGTGTGTGGCAGGGCAGGGTCTTCACACAGATGCACATGGCACTCCCTGGGGGAAGCCCTGCCACCCTGTCCCTCCCTGAGTACCAGCCATTTTCCCCTCTGCCCTTGTGCCCAGCGACTCCAGCAGGCTAGCAGGCCGGCCATGGACTGGGGCCCATCGCTGGAGGAGAACCGGACAGGCATGTATGTGGCCACACTGGCAGGGAGCCAGTCGCCCAAGCCGCTGATGGTGCACATGCGCAAGTATGGGGGCATCACCAGCTTCGAGAACACAGCCATCGAGGTGGACCGCGAGATCGCCGAGGAGGAGGAAGAGTCCATGATGTGAGGCAGGAGGCCGATGGACAGGTGGCCAGCCCAGGGACCACGAAGGGCAGTCACTGTCCTCTAGGATTGTGGGAGGTGGTGGCAGGTTGCTGTGGTGCAAGTCCCTGTTGGATCTCTCCACACACATATACACACATGCTTACACACATGCAGACACTCCTAGATACACACACATTCATACTTACACATATGTATACATGCACATGTGTGCACCCATTCAGAGCTGGGGATGACCCACTTTGCAGATGGACATATTGAGGTCAGGAGGGAGGCATTGGCATAGCAGAGGGGACTTGGTCCCAGGCCTCCTGACCTGCCAGCCCCTCCCTGGGCACGTCCACTCACACGTAGGTGTCCAGGGTTGGCCAATTTAAGATCCCAGAGCCTCATGTGTATGGGCCTGAAGGAAGTGGAGGCTTGGGGCCATAGTGAATGGGGAAGGCTTATAGAGAGAGGAAGAGGAGGGTAGGCTGAGGAGACTCCAGGCCAGGAGAAGGCTGAACTGTCAGGGAGGGGCAGGAGAATGGCAGAAGGAAGAATTGTGGGTGGGTGGGCCAGGGGTGCTGAGGTGGGCGGGACTTGCCGCAGAGAGTGGGTCTGGCCTGGAGGGAGAGGACTGAGGTGGGAGGCCTTCACAGGGCAGGCACAGCAGGGGCAGGGGTGAGGAAAGAAAGCAGAGGGCTCGCTTCCTTCACCCCTGCACTGGGGTCAAGCTGTCCACATGTGGCCTTAGGAGTCACAGCCTGGCCCCTGGGGCCCTTGTGTTCCCTTCTGCCAGCCCGTGTGATCTTCTCCAGTCCTGGCACTGCTGGGAACTTGGCTTTTGCCTGGATAACCAAGACAACTGTGGGTCTTGGGGCTGGTCGCACCCAGGACTGCCACAGTCTCATGGCTCCCATTCTGCTACAGAGCACGGGGCCTGGGGCCTACGGGAGGGCAGGGGCAGTCCGTGCAGAGTAGCCCACAGGCACGGGGACTGGGGGCAGCCTACCTAACCAGGAGGCAGTATGCCCTTGTATGGCAGCGGTCGGCCACTTTCTCGCTCTCCTCACACCACCCCTCCCTGTGTGTGTTGTCACTTGATTGTTAATAAAACCAAATGAGAACGAGGCCATTCTGCAGACCCTGTGTCCTTTCTGAAGCAAGCCACCTGTATGCACGCAAGGGCTCCACAGACTCCTGCTCTGGCCTGCCCAGCTTCTCACACCTGCTATGGGTTTCTAAAAGGCAGTGTAGATAACTGGACTGAGGAAGGGAAGGGACTTGGCTTCAAGTGATTGTGCCCAGGTAGGCAGGGTCTGAGTCTGGGAGCTGCAGATCAGCAACATCCCTACCCCAACCCTACCCTGACCCCGGCCCAGCCCAGCCCGGCCAGGCCCCAGCCCAGCAGAGTGCAGGTGAGGGCTGGAACTGCGGTCCCAGGTTGGGAGGAGCCAAGAGTTTCCCAGGCTTGAGGAATTTCCTGGATCCACCCACCCCCTCCCTGCAGGGCCTTTCAAATGCGAGACCCAGGTGTTTGCAAAGGCTTTGATTCTGGGTGGGAGGGAAGGGCGGCTGCATCTTGCGATATTAATGAATTGTCCGGAAAGAAGGGCAGGACCCTCCTCCAGCCCTCTTTGAGATGGATGGGTGGGGGGGTGGGAAAATATGCCTTTGTCTATGGCAGGGGGCGAGGAGGATGGCTCCCTCCAACTCACTCCACACACAGGCCGACAGGCCCAGGCACTGGACCTTCCCCAGCGCCTGGCGTGGCTGAAGGCACCTTGGGCTCCAGCACTGGCCAGCGACTGTGGTTTGCGTGTTCCTCAGTTGCTTAGCTAAGCCAGGTGTCCAGGATTGGAAGCTCGTGGCATCTTCCTGGCTTCTCTTCTGGGTCCCAAGCGTGAGGCTGGAGGGTCTGCACCCCACCTCTGTCTCTCCTGCCCCGCACCTGTACCCCACCCGGCTCTGGGCCTGAGTGTCCCCACTGGCTCAGTCTTCTGTTCTGCCCTGCTTTTCCCAGTTCCAGAACAGCACTTCCGCAGCACCAGCCTCCTCCTCCTCCTTATCTTGGCCGCCTTGCTGCCTCCTGGTTGCAGCTGATTCCAAGAGACATACAACAGGTATGTGGTGTGGCACCCCAGTGGGTTAAGCCTCCAGCTGGGCCATCCACATCAGAATCCCACTTCCTCTTCCCATCCAGCTTCCCTAAACCCTAGGAGGCAACACGAGGGCTCAGGCACTTGGGCTCCTGCCCCTCACACTGGAGAGCCAGGCTAAGTTCTAGCCTCCTGCCTTTGCCTGGCCCAGCCCTGGCTACTGCAGGCATCTAGAGAGTGAACCAGTGGATAAAAGAGCTGTCTGCTTGCCTCTGTGTTTCTCCATTTCTCCCGCTCTGTCACCTTGCCTTTCAAATAAATAAATCCTTAAAAATATTCCCAACCCACCAGGCAGTATGGCTCCGGAGGGCCTATGCCCTCCCAGTGCTGGCCAGCAGCCCTAGGGTGCTGCCGAGGGTGCCTGGGTCCTGCATTCCTGCCCTGGGTCTTGGCAGACGAGCCGGGAAGCACTAAAGCCAGGCCACCTGCAGAGGGCTGCTTCCAGCCTGTGATCTTGGGGGCAAACATGCAGAGGAGGGGGAGGGGTCCTCCTCACTCCACAGGCACAGCCACATTCCCAGGGTCAGGCAAGGGTCAGCAGACCCCAGGGGTCACTGAGTTATCTCTGAGTTTGGTCCTCAGTGAGCTGCATGCCCCTCCACCACCCGCCACTACTGCAGCCAAGTTCATTCCCATGCTGTACCCTGGCCAGCCTGACTCCTTGCCTTGACTACCAACTGTAGGCAGGTGTGGAGGGTTTGCTTGGTGGAGAAGCTATAGCATCTCACACTTGGAGTCCCCGAGTTCGATTCCTGGCTCTAGCACCCGAGTTCAGCTTTGGGCACCCTGGAAGGCAATAGTGAGAGTTGAAGTAGTTTGGTCCCTGCCCGCTGTGTGGGAGGTCTGAGTTGAGCTCTGGGCTGTTGCAGGAATTAGGAGGGCAACCCAGTGGGTGGGTCCATTTCTCGGTCTCGCTCACATGCTCAAATCAATAAATTGCAAAGCAAAACTGTAAGCAGTTCTCTGCCGACATTGGACACAATCAGCAAAGGATCTGTGCCCCAGATTTACAAAGAGAAGGGGAGACAGAGAGAAAGATCTTCCTTCTGCTGGTTCATTCCCTAAGTGACTGCAACAGCTAGAGCTAAGCCAATCTGAAGACAGGAACCTGTTCTGGGTCTCTCACATGGGTGCAGGGTCCCAAGGGCTTGGGCCATCCTCCACTGCTTTCCTGGTCCACACGCAGAGCCGGACAGGGGCAGTCAGGACACAAACTAGCATCCAAATGGGATGCTGGCACTGGAGGTGGAAGCCTGTTGAGCCACCTGAGCCACTGCCCTGTCCCCGCCTGATCCCTCCTGACTGCTCCTCCCTCATGGACTTGGCTTTGCCCCTAGGCTCTTCTGACCATGGTCATGGTCACGATCTCAGTCTCAGTTTCGGTCTCGGAAAGCCTCGGGAGTCGGAGGCAGGGGAAGGGCCTGTAGTCTCGTTGATCTGGCTGAGCCAGGGAGAGGATGAGGAAGTGGGGAGCCTGGGGCAGGGCAGATGTACAGATAACCGTGGGAACTGGAGAAGGGCACCTGAACCTGGAGACCCAGCAGGACCCCTGCCTGGCTGCCTCGCCTGTTCCCGGCACCCAGATAAGGCCCTGGGCCTGCAGGGAGGGACAGTGCACCACGCTGTCCAAGGGGCACATGCTGCTTGAGACCTCAGCTGGCCATGGGAACAGGGAGGGTAGCCCCACACTACTATGCATCTGCCCTGCCTTGCTCTGCAAGGGCCCCAGCACCTGCTGGGGGGATGTTCCCCCCATGACCGTGAGCCATGTGCCAGCAGGACCATGTCACCTGCTGGGACCCACCCATGCCCTCTAAGGTACAAGCCCCCCTGGGCTTCCTCTGCCCTCTGATCTTTTTGCTAACACCCCCTCTGCTACCTTCTCCCCAAAACCCCGCCTCCTCTGCCCCTTCTCCCAGCAGCCCCACTGAGGTGGGCTGTCTTGCTCCACACAGCCCCCCACATCCCACCCCAGGGTGCACCTTACAGAGAGATGACTGGCCTTCCCCCTCCTCTTCTGGACTATTGTGCACTTGACGCCCCGGTCCTGCCCCCATTCCGGCCTGTCCTGGGGGACAGCAGTCGGGGTAGTTCAGGATGCCCCTGGAGCAGGCGGTCACTGTGGCTTAGCGTCTGAGTCCACCACAGCTCCTAGGCAGGTCCTCCTGTCCATGGGCCACACGGACGGTGCAGGCTCCTGCTCAGAGACTGCCAAAGACAGAAATGCGGAGAGTGGGAGTACGGAGTGAGGGGTGTACCTGCCCCGGCACAGCCCCAACCCACAGTCTGTGCCAGCCAGCAAGTGTCATTACCCAGCTGGGACTGCGCTCACAGCCACACGGCACTCAGCCTGTTACAGGCACAGCTTTGCTGACTCCAGTCAGGAAAACCTCAAACCAAAAGCCTGTGGTGGGGTGCAGGTAGAGGACCTGATTCAGGGCAGCTGGGGAGAAGGGGAAGGCTCCCCAGGAGAGGCAGGTGCAGAAGCTGTGTCCTGAAGGAACAGATGTTGCAATGCTCTGGATGAGTGGAAGGGGGTTGGGGAGTTGGGGGCTGAGTAGTGGGGGCTCAAGGGGGTGGATGGGGCAGCCAGGCCTGTGCAGTAGGTTTGGGGTGTGATGTGGAGGTGAGGCAGGAGTTGGAGTTCCTAAGAATCCCAGGGACAATTTGCTGGCTGCTGCAGGCAGGTAAACTTTGACCAGAGCAGGGAGGCCCCCTGTCAGGAGTTTGGGGTAAGTCCTGACTTGAAGGTCATTGTCATCTAGTGCTGTTCTAACAGGCACCAGAGGAGCTGGGAGGGCCCCTTGTGAACCAAAACGTACCACGCTCCTCGCAGATGATGGTAGCACTCTCATTGGAGGCAATTCTTTTTGAGAATGAAACGCTGGATATTCCTTGAAAATCAATGGGACTGCCAGAGCACGTAGACGCAGAGGTCAAGCACGGCCTGGAGCGCGCTCCTGTGCTGCCACCTGCTGGCCGATACTTGTATGGCCGCCCATCCAGCCTTCCAGCTCCTGTGAAGCACCCAGGCAGGGAAGGACCAAGCTGGAAGCCAGCATAGATGCAATCCCCTAGGTCCCTCTGCTCAGCTCAGCTCAGCTCAGCTCGGGCTCTCACTGCCAAGGTCCTGAACATGGGCCGGCATTCCC